GTACAAAGACAACCAAAGGCAACTTTTTACACGTCACTGTTCGTCAAGGCAATCTATCACTGATGTAAGTAAGCAGTGAGATACTAAGAATATCCTCCGGACAATTTTTATAATCGCTATTATATTATTGGCAAGCTACGCCGGAGAATGGTAGCGAAACTAAAGAAAATCTAACCAACGCCAAAACTGAAATAGGACAGACAGACGCCTGAAGGACAAGAGTTTCTTTGTGACATACAAAATCAGGCTCATGAATTAATGTAATTTGAACATGTCTTCAAAATCGATGTGGAACATTCTGAGAGAAACATTAGTGAAGTCTCCGAATGGAGACTTTCCATAGAAAAACGATATATGAGTTGATGGCAGAGATCCTTCTAGAGATGATAAAAAGCGGCAGCAAAAAAATTTAATGAATACAAAAACAATATCGAAAACTAAACAGAGGAATTAAAAACAAATGTCGGTGGGCTAAAGAAGAAAGGCTCAATTAAAAGTATCCTAGAACAGAAAAGATGAGTAACAAAAATGCTGCAAGTGATTCAACTAGTCAACTCATAGCTACGGTGGGGGATGCATTCATAGCTTTCCCAAGGCTATTTGTGCTAGATGAATGGAACGAACTCGACCAGAATTCGAATTTAGCTCTTCAATTTTTCATTCCGTGTCGATAGACCAAAACTCTTGTCGTTTAATACCGAAGAAAAGTGTAACCTATATTATTCAAAAACTATTTTGCATGTTATAGTTATAGCTCGATCTATTTGGAAAGGATGTTAGAATATTCCAAAACTTATGCTGGGAGCAAACCGACTGCATGATATCGGAGAGAGAAATATGAATGACCTGTTGAATTATGTTTCATAGATTATGCCAAAGAATTTGACAAGGTACGACACAGTGATTTATTTGAACTGTTATGAAAGCTCGGTCTATTTGGAAAGGACGTTAGAATATCGTTAGTGGTCATTGTTGCTGAATATTGGGGTGCTCATCGACATTTCATTCTGTGTGAAATCAGCCCTATGTTGGGTCTGAACAGACGTCTCCAGCCAACGCATAGAAGAGACGAGGGTCCAGGGGATGGAGAGCTGTGTCTCCTTGGGTTTTTTTCCTTTCTTCTATTTGTCTTCTGATGTATTCAAATTATTTTTTATTTTCGTAGGATGCTCTTCTCCAATTACTTCTTTCTATAGCTTCCGAATCCCAATTGACCGGATAGACTTCCGTCCTCGGCAAGGTGTATTTGAGCTGATTCTTGAATCGACAAACGGCGGCTCTACGTGGTTTCTTGCCATATGCGAACTCTGAGAAGAGCATTTGTTTGAGTAGGCGGATCTGTGGCATTCGGGTAAGGTTTTCGGCCTATTGAAGTCGGTGGCGAGTCATATTGCTTTTTAGGCTCTCTATTGCACGGAGGAGAACGTCGTTGTTTGTGATCCAATTCTGGCACGTTTTTCGTAGGACTTGTCAAAGTTTAATTGGATAGAATCTTTCAAGTTTGCGGATGTCTCTTCAGTAGCGTACCCACGTCTCACAGGCCTACAGGAGTGTAGAGCATGAGCTTAGTTGCAAATATGGACAACAGAAGAAAATAATTAACAGGATAAAAAATGTGAGGCAATCAACAAGCCCGATAAAATCAAAGAAAGGTTCACTGATAATAGAAAAAGAAAAATACTCCAAAGGTGGACCGAATACGCCATCAGAGGACATTTTCACGACGCGAGAGAGAAACCTACAGCACATTTAAAAACGGAAACACCAGAAATATTAAAATCTGAAGTAAGACAACATACTGGAAAATATGAACAGGGCCTTATGGGAACGTAAAATAAATGCCCTTAGCCTTAGACGATTTCGATATCGACAAGATCGCAGAAGTAATGAACGAAATACCAACTAAATCGGTTTCCATAAGATTGTCTCAAAGACTAGATGCAAATGAATGCGAGTCCCATAAGATAATCAGTTTAATTAGATATATAACCAAAATAATGAGGCAGATCCTAATGAAATAGACCGGACATAGGACCTGAACAGTGCGGTTTTGTGAAGGTCACTAGAACAAGAAATGCTATATTCATGATCAGAATGATATCGGAGAGAGCAATATGAATGAAAAAGTATGTGGAATTATGTTTCATAGATTATGCCAAAGAATTTGACAAGGTACGACACAGTGATTTACTTGAACTGTTATGAAAGCTCGATCTATTTGTAAAGGACGTTAGAAACCGACTGCATATTGAACCAAGTGATAGGAAGCTTTTGCGATCCATCGTTGTCCATGTACTGAAGAAGTAGAAGAAATACAAAAAAAAATTCAGTTTTCATATTTTAAAATTTTCTGAATTGCAAAAATTTTATTGGTCTTCTCGATCTCTTTCGCTTCCAGTAGTTCCTTGTGTTTTAGTGACATTATTGCCTTGCTTGGGATGAACTGATTAAAAAATCATATATATATATATATATATATATATATATATATATATAATCGGCTGATTTCCTAATTCAATCTATCTATATCTATCTATCTATCTCTAGATAGATAGATAGATACGAACAGAGATAGATAGATAAATACATAGATAGAAAGAAAGAAAGAAAGATAGATAGATAAATAAATAGATAGAAAGAAAGAAAGAAATATGGATAAATAAATAGATAGAAAGGAAGAAAGAAAGATAGATAGATAGATAGATAGATAGATAAAATTAGGAAATCAGCCGATTCCGCTACTTTGGTTTCAATTTTTCGGCGATTTCCGTCAATTGATTTCATAACGCTTTATTTATTTTTTGATAAAAAAATTTGAACGCTATATTTTTTAAATAAATAAATGAATGGATAACCGGACGACGTGAGTAGGGGTTGAAGGTAAAGAGGAGGAGGAAGAGTAGGAGGAGGAAAAATCAAGTGAATTGGAAATGGATCGGTGTGGGATTAAATGATATGTAACTATTTTCTTTTCATCCCATTTCATGTGAATTTAAAAGGAAAATTTTAGTATGTAACGGGTCATAATTTCCGATCTCTGATTGAAAATGTTTTTGTTTTTTTTTGGTCTGGAAATGTTATTATAGCTAGTTTTTCTTGTTGACAAAGGTTGCAGATATTGCTATGATTGTTGTAAGGTTTCCAAGTACAAGCGGGAATCATCGGTTATGGTTTGAACAATGTTGGCCATTAAAATTTAGGTTATTTCTGTTATTTGATTTACTTTCACGATGTGCACAATATACACACTGACGATGTAAGTTGTATGCAAATCAGCAACAAAATTCATAACAAGTAATGAACTACATCCTGTCAGCAATCAATTAAATATTTTTTTGTATACAATTTCTGAAAAGGATGACTTTCTTTATAACATTTTTTATTAAATTCAAGATTTTACTTTTCGTTCGATATAAACAATTTTGACAAATATTACGAATATTAGAAAAAAGAAACATCTCAAATTTGCTGTTGATCCTGTTAGGCAAACCAATTTTCGGATTTACAGTGTGTATTATGGCAGATTCTGTATCCGCTGTCAGCACGGATATTTACCCACTCATTTCAAATAATAAATAAAGACGGCTAGGGAAAATCCGGAAGAAAGTAAATAAAGGCTTTTATTTTCTAGAAAAAGATCATGTGAATAACGTATAGAAATGTATTGCATGCCTTTTACCCGACACAGAAAACGAATGCTAGCGATGCTACAAATGTTTTCTTTACTTATATGTTCAGCAGGTCCTGATTGGAAAAAAAAACAAAACAAAAAACAAAAAAACAATAAAAAAAAACTGTATTCTACGCGAGTAAGCATTTTCCCAATACGGTTTTTATCCCAAAATTTCTCTCTAGACAAGGAACTTAACTGGGCGGCCTTTAATGGTTACTTAACTTCGCCAAACGCTGTTCATATTAATTGGGAAAGTTGAAAGAAAGGTAACCCAACACAATCAACTATCTTTCAATTATATCCATTTATCGAGTTGTCAATTTGTTAAACTCTATACAATTTTACTTTCAAAATAAAGTAAATACCAATTACCGTAGAAAAGTACCTATTCCAAATGGAATATTTCTTTTAAAAATTTAACCGGCTCGACAATATAAAAGCAATTTAAAAAAAAATTAAACTATTAAATGTTGGGAACTGGAAAAAAAGTTTGAATAAAATAAGCAAAAGAAGATGGTTATTATAGTGATTTTCTAATCGTAGCTCGCATGCGGCACAAGGCCAAAAGTAAGGGGCACCCAGTAAGGATTAAACTCATTACACATCTGTAATTGTTCTAGCGAGACAAGCTCGCTAACCATTACACCACAAGGAGCCCAAGACGGTTATTATATATGACCTACGCTAACCATACATGCTGGTAATGTTTATTGGAGCGCGAAAATGTTCAATCCGGACCAAGTGAAACGTTAACCAACTGGCAGAGAGACACAGAGGTAGAAAAAAAAGAAGTTCACCTCTGCATGATAAAAGCCAGCCACTTATCTGCCATTCGCGATAAACACTTAGGCGATCATGTATCTTTCGATACATGACAGACGAGGCAGATTTCTCCCGCCGTAGGTTGCCATTGCTGTCGACCAGTCATCCAAGGCTACAGAACCCGTTCTCTCCTGCTATTTACACATGGTTAGAGGAAGAGGATTCATACCTTTCCCAACGGTCTTAACACGTAAGTGAATGTAATGGATTCGACTGGAATTCGAACTCAGCTCTCCGGTTCCTTAATCCGAGTCGCTATCCATAACTCCAGCTTCCCCGTGATAATAAAATATGTGTTAAAATAAAAAAAAAAATAGAATTAGGAGTTGTTTTTTTTTCGTGCCTGATAAAAAAAAAGTAAAGAGTAAATCGAAAAATAGAGGAAGTAACAGAGGAAGAAAAAATGGATTAAAGAAAGCGAAATAAATAAAGTAGAGAAAAAAGATGTGAAACGAGAAAAGCCATGAGAAATACGAGAGAGTATAAAAGATGGAAAGAAGAGGAATCAAATGAAGATAAAGGCATAAGGAGTAAATGAGAAAGAGAAGTGGAAGGAGACGGAAAATAAGAGAGAGAGAGAGGTATGAAAAATGAGCAAGAGTTTGCTGCTGAACAAGAGAGAGAGAGAGAGAGAGAGAGAGAGAAAGTGAAAGTGAAAGTGAGTGTTAAAGAGAAAATCAGTAAAGAGAAATGTATGAAGCAAAAGAATGCGATAGTGAAAATGTAGAACGAGAGAGAGAGAAAGAGAGAAAAATCGAGAGAAAGAGTGAGGGGGGAAAAAGAAGGAGATAAAGAGAGGTATAAAGAGAGAGAAAGAGGAGAAAGCGTGAGAAAAAGAGAGAAAGCGTGAGAGAAAGGGAATGTAAAACAGGGAGGAAAAGAGCGAGAGAAAGAGAGGGAGAAAGAAACAGAAAGAGGAAAAACACGAGAGAGAAAAAGAGAAAGCTAGATAGAGAAAGAGGGAGAAAAAAGAGAGAAAAGGAGAGAGAAACAGGCATAAAGAGAGAGGGGGCAAAAAGAGAGCGAGAGGGAGAAATAGAGAGAAAGAGGGAGAAGAGAGAGAGAAAGAGAGAAAGCTAGATAGAGAAAGAGGGAGAAAAAGAGAGAGAAAGGGAGAGAGAAAGAGACATAAGAGAGAGGAAGCAAAGAGAGAGAGAGAGGGAGAAAGAGAGAGAAAGAGGAAAAACACGAGAAAGAAAGAGAGAAAGCTAGATAGAGAAAGAGGGAGATCAAGAGAGAGAAAGGGAGGGAGAAAGAGGCATAAAGAGAGAGGGAGCAAAAAGAGAGAGCGGGAGAAAGAGAGAAAAAGAGGTAAAACAAGAGAGAGAAAGAGAGAAAAACTAGATAGAGAAAGATGGAGAAAAAGAGAGAGAAAGGAAGGAGAAAGAGGCATAAAGAGAGAGGGAGCGAAAAAAGAGAGAGGGAGAAAGAGAGAGAAAGAGAAAAAACAAGAGTCAGAAAGAGAGAAAGCTAGATAGAAAAAGAGGGAGAACAAGAGAGAGAGAAAGAGGCATAAAGAGAGAGGGAGCAAAAAAGAGAGAGGGAGCAAAAAAGAGAGAGAGGGAAAAAGAGAGAGAAAGAGGAAGAAAAGAGAGAGAGAAAGAGGAAGAAATAGAAAGCGTGTGGGTGAAAAAGAGAGGGAGTAAGAGAGAGCGATAGCGAAACAACCTAGAGAAAAGGGGAGGCGTTGATAAAGTAACAGAAATAGACACGAAGAAATGAATTTTGAAATATTTCCGTAAACAGTAGGCGTGACAAATATGGAGGTGTTTGCGTTTGAACCTTTTTTTTTTTTTTTTTTTTTTTACGCACGCGGGCTGCGAGATTTGGCGGGAAACTTCAATTCTCTGACAGACATGGCGTGACAAAGGGCGCATCAAAAGGTCACGAGACTGATTATTGACTAAATCTGGAAGTGCGCATATTTCAAATCTATTTCCGGCAGTAAAAAAAAAAAAAATAAAATAAAATAAAATAATTCTTGCATCCCAAAATTGATGCATATTTTCTTACAGTCACGGAACTACCCCATGACATTGAACAGTTAACAGATCGTATCATTCAAACCGATTCATTTATTCTATATTTCAGGAAGAAAACAAAACCGTATATATTCTCCACTCAATCAGAATTGATCAGATAAATATTTCAAAGAAGAAAAACAGATGGACTGTATACAATCATAAAAATATGAATAGCATATTGTTTAATGCTGTGCTAGTATCGTAACTTCGGTCTGCGTGGAAAGAAAAGCGTTCTATACTAAAAGACTAGTCATTTTGCAATTCTGGGCAAAAATTCGAGAACTATTTTAACATGTTCCAATTTGTGAAATCTTGGCAAAATTAAAAAAAAACAATTTGATAAGTGTTTTTAATTTAATTATGTACTATAAAGATCTGTTTGCTTTTATTTTAAGTTTTTTTTTTTATAGTAAAACAGTATACTAAAATTCCATATATGTTTTAAATACTTTTAGGATGGAAAACAAATTACTCATAAATTAAAATTTATCTGTATATTTGTTTATATGAAAAACACTGTCATAGAGAAAAGTATTCACTTAATTGTATGTGTTAAATAATGGCAGATCCTAATGTAAAGCCGAATCTAGGCATACGTCACACTGTCCGCTGACCTGAGATGGAATAATTACATTGAATCCTTAGCTTCATCAACCGCAAGAAAAGTTGCTTCCTGTGTCGCGCCCAAAAGTTTTTCTCGTCCCAGTCCATCGTTCAAATTTATAAATCAACAATTCGCCCTTGCACTGAATACTGCTGTCATATATAATCCGGTGTCCCCGCTGTTCGTCTTGGGGTCCTCGACAAAATCTAGAGACGGATATGCAATACGGTTGGTCCTGATCTGGCATCTCATCTACAGTCGCTCTCTCACAGACGTGCCGTAGCCTCCCTCTGTCTTTTCTACAAATACTTTCACGGTAACTCCTACTTTCGCTAGTTCCCAAACTACATGAATTTAAGCGTGCTACAAGGTTAGCATCACAGTCCCATTCTTTCATTCGAACGCACATGGTGAAAGTAAATCAAATAACCGGAATAACCTAAATTTTAATGGCCAACATTGTTCAAACCATAACCGATGATTCCTGCTTGTACTTGGAAACCTTACAACAATCATAGCAATATCTGCAACCTTTGGCAACAAGAAAAACTAGCTATAATAACATTCGAAACGGTTAAATGTAGCCGTCTCTTCTATTCCAATAGCTTCATGTCTCGCATCTCCCGTCAGTGGAATTCCCTTCCTATTACTTGTTTCCCTGATAGCTATAATCTCCAACTCTTCAAATTAATGTCAATTGACATCTCCAGATGCCCTGACCAATTACCTGTCCTTCTAATCCTCTTTTCCTCTTTACTCTCGCTCTCACTCTCTTCTCAAGAAGGGTCCAAGGATACAAAAATGGCCATTGGCGTTACATTTAACGAAAGGATTCGAAGAGAACTTAGTGTTACGGTTAGAATGATTGCCAGTAAAAGATACTAGTGGCATCCCGCCTTGATTGGGGTGAAATACTTAAAAAATATCATAACATAGATGCTCGTACGATGAGCGAAGTTAAGCAACCTCGAGCCGGGTCGGTACCTAGATGGGTGACCACTTGGAAATGCCAGGTGCAGTAAGCTTGGATGTATAGCTGGTGTAATGGATAATGGTGCAGAATTGTTAATCCGAGACTTATGGATTAGTTAGGATTTGTATCAGTAAATCGTTGCTATCTCCAAAAATCCAGTGACAGACCCAAAGAAGGTGGGTTCAATTCCTGGTTAAGGCAGTGGAGAACTTTCAGAGGGAAAAATTAGTAGGAGATAACTGATAACTGACATCCATCAAACATGGCACGTGGAACTAGAATAGCGATCGAAATAAAGGGTCCAGTTCGAAATTCCAACCACCTGAAGAAGGCCGGAGTGTACAACGGCCGAAACGTTGTGACAAATATGGCGACAAAGATGAGGACAATAGTCCGACTAATGTAAATACTGTATCTCCAAAGTATTCTTACAATCTAAAAATAGTTTCAAGCACAGGCTTGATAAGCTGTAAAAAAATACATATCTATCTTTAAATACATAAATACACCGAAATGAGATCAGCGTGAGGTTGAGCTTCTCTTAGAATTAATTTCTCTTCGTTCGCTGCTTTCCATGAGACATTAATCTATTGTCGGAAATAATGAAGAATAGACTTACATGAGTGGAGCGGCGATGTCGACCGAGGAGTCCAAAGGCGCGAACGCCTCATTCTTCTCCGCTTTAGTAGCCTTCCATTAGGATTGACGGATGAAGTGAGGGCAGATGTACGTTATAAAAACTCCTCCACCTCATATTCAAGAGCTTTTTGGCTGACAGTGAAACAAGTTGTTATTATTGTTCCTGTCTACTATGGTTACCTGACCCTAGCGGAGAGGGTCGCAAAGGAAGGATGTTTTCTTTTGCAACCCGGTCATTCACCAGCTATCTCCACGATGGTCTTTTCAGTTGAATTCATTTTCGACACTATCTATCCAAAGGAATTACGTACATAATGCTTCCTTCTGTTCGTAAGATAACTCAAAATAAACTACCGCTTGATTGGTATCATCGAGTATAGTTACTAACCAGAGAAATTGCTGGAAAGACTCAGTAAAGTACTCTGTAGATTTACTAAGTGTATAATTTGGTATTTGAAGAGTTACAGCTAAAATTAAAACTAACTAAAGCTAGTTCGGTTCTTCAAAGCCTTTTATGTCAGATTTAATAGCCGAGCTAATGAAATCATCAGGCATGACTCATAATAAATACACTTTTCGCTGTAAGAAAGCATGGTATAAACAAAATGTTTCTACCAATGTAATTCACTTACGTAATGGTATATTTCGCTTACTTCTCAGTAGAATTTCAGTTATTATTCACAACATATAAATTTGGTGCAAGAAGATTTGTTTTGCCATTCTTCTTGAACAGAGTCTAAGAATACAGAAAATAGCCATTGGCGTTGCATTTAACGAAAGGATTCGAAGAGAACTAAGTGTTACGGTTAGAATGATTATAGGGTGTGTGAATGCCAGTAAACGATATTTAGCGTTCTTTCATGAATCAGCTGAGATTAAAAATGTTTTTATACCGTGCCTCCTCAAAAATACGCGATTTCCGCTCTAATCAGATTGTTTTTTTTTCTTTTATTATACACTAGCAGTAGAGCCCGGCGTTGCTCCGGGGATGTAACAGTAAGAGATAGATCAAGTATCGACCATCATGAAGACTGAAAATTAAAATTGACAAAGATTATTGTTTAAGGTTGACGGACACGCATGTCTTAATTAGTTTTTTTTTTTTTTTTACGAATTGGTCAAACCTAAACTCAAACAAAAAACATTGTTTTCAATCGTTATGAGTCTATCAATTGGTGAATAGAATTTTATTATAAACAATTGTCTTGTAAATGGAATTTTTAAAGCATTCTGAATGTAAAAATAAAGAAAAAAGTGTGCAAGGCAATAAGAAACACTACCTGTCAAAAAAAAGGGAAGTTTTGTTGAAATCGGTTGAAAAATGTAGGAAATCCGATCCCATATATAAACGAACACACACACACACACACAAAAAAAAAAAAAAAACAACCTGGGTTTTATAATAAGTATAACTCGATATGAGTTGCCCCCTTTCATTCTGGCAACAGAATCGTGTTTTATCGTGTTTTCAAATTGATTCTGTGCAAAAACAATTGTGTTTTTCCAATTTTGGGCGCTGTCAGAACCACCGCAAGGTAATTTTACGTAGTACTGTGAAGTTTTGTTGAAATCGGTTGAAAAATGTAGGAAATCCGATCCAATATATAAACGTACAGACACACATACACACACAATCTGCGTTTTATAATAAGTAAGATGAATTTCAAGTAACTTCTTGCGATAGACAATAGAGCAGTTTCATGTTGCCTTCTCCACAGTTTCGAATTTAGAACTTTCTATATTACCTTGATTGGCTCCAAACTATAATACACAATCCAGTCCAAGCTGTAATGTAAATCATAACAGACGGACAGAGGAGGTGGAGTCACACCGCTGTAAAAGTCATTCGCAACAGTGAACGCAATGTTATTGACAGGATTTGAAATCGACCCTACTCACAGCGCTTAAAACGGCTACGGTTTACTTATATACTATTCAAACTTTGTTAGCTAAAGTTTCTAAAGATTTGATAAGGATTATTTCTAATCTGATTTTATAAACGTTTTGCTTGATTCTTATGCCAGTCCCGTCCTATTTTTCTTGGGATTTCATTTAATAAATGGGAAAGTGAACCCCAATGTAATCCCCAAAATGATACTGCCTATAGTTCTAATTCAATTTCCCTACTCTTCTCGAGTTTAATTAGTCGAATAAAAGAAACGCTAGTAATCTATGGCGGTAAGAAGCTCAACGATTGGCGATGGTGTCATTTACAAAGTTGCATACAGTGTCAGACCCTGTCAAGGTATACCATTTCTTTATAAAACCTTTCGAATGAAAATACTTCAGATAAAATATGGCAACAGTATTCAATACATAGACGAATGCTAGATTTTTAAATGTACAAAATGGTTACTTTTTTTTTGGCACGACACAGACAACAATCTTTACCGCCAGCAGACGTGACACTTATCTCAATAGAGTCGGTTTATTTCATGTTAGTGAAAAACTTTAGGCCAAGAATCCGTAGAGTGTTGCTCTCCTAGAATTCAGCATCAGTCATCTTGATGATAGGCAGACATTTTTTTGTGGTGATTAAAGGAAAGAAGTTTTGTTTTAGAGGGTTTGTGAGAATATATGAATCAAATAAAAAATCAAATATCAATGTATAAGCGAAGCTTAGATAACCATAAAATCTAATTTTTTATACACACACACACACACACACACACACACACACACACACACATATATATATATATATTTCATTTTTATTTCTAAACATAATTTGTTTCCTCTTATATTTTGATTTCAGAATATTTTTTATTCTTTAATATAACATGTTGATTTTATATTAAATATATTTTTTTTTAAATATAATTTTACTTAATTTTAATACATAGTATCTAAATATGACTTATTTTTAATTTATTTAAATATATATTTTTATTTTTTTAAATATAACTTGTCTTTGGAAGTGTAAATATGATGTACGATTTTGTATTTTTAAAAATATAATTTAAGTTTTTTTTTAAAAAGAAAAAAATATTCTTTCCTCTCTTATTTCAAATTAACATTTCATTCTTCATATAACCCCAATTTAATGTTATAAGGTTAAGATCCGGGTTTAATTTTATAAAACCTCTTCCCTTTAAGACTAATACCTTCCACCCTCCCTTGAACACTGTCTCGTGCCTTTCGTCTAACTCCGAAATGGATAAATTCTTTATTAGTTTTTCGACGATATTTTCGTAGCTGTTTTGAATCATACTTATTATAAAACCCAGGTTGTGTGTGTCTGTGTGTGTGAGTGTGTCTGTTTATTTATATATTGGATCGGATTTCCTAGATTTTTCTTCACAGGACTACGCAAAAATTACCTTACGGCGGTTCTGACAGCGCCAAAATTGGAAAAACTCAATTGTTTTTGCACGAAATCTATTTGAAAACGCGATTAAGAGGCATCGCTGTTTCGAGAATGAAAGGGGGACAACTCAGAATAAAATTCTATTCAATCATAATGATTGAAAACAAGGTTTTTGTTTGAGTTTGGGTTTGACCAATTCTCAAAAAAAAAAAAAAATACTAATTAAGACATGCGTGTCCGTCAACCTTAAACAATAATCTTTGTCAATTTTATATTTCAGTCTTTATGATGGTCGATACTTGATCTATCTTTTACTGTTGCATCCCCGGGCAACCCCGAGCTATACAGCTAGTATTTTATATTACTAGGATCTACTTGGACTATATACCAACGGATTTATTACATTTACCATATATATATATATATATATATATATATATATATATATATATATATATATATATATATATATATTAGGTACCTCAGTTTTTTCGCAAGAAAATATCATAGCGTAATGTAAAAGGCCACAAACATAACGAAAATAATGTTTTATCGTCAAAATGTTTATGTTATTATTAAAATAACATTGCTTCTTTTTCGCGCTCTTTTTCCGTTGAAAACACATTGATTTTGAAATCCTTGTAAAAATAAAGTAATTTTCCGATTTTAATGAAGTTTTCGGGACTTATTTACAAATAAATGAAATTATTTTTGAATATTTTTTTTAGAAGATTTTTGTAAAAAATATATTTTTTTTTATATGTTACCCCCCACTTACTTAATTTCATGAAATTTCGCACAAAACCCTTCTATTTCCTGAATTTTTTTTTTTTGGTTAAAAGTAGAGTCTTTGGAGATTGTAAATCACCTATTTTTTTTCAACTATCTAACTGAAAATCTGCTCTGAATTGAAAAATAATGAATCCAATAAAACTATGACATTAGTTAATTAGAAAAGCTTTTAATTGCTTTTGCAAATACTTAATATTAAGGACATTATTGTCTGAAGAAATGAAATTTTTACAAGAATATTTACATTTTTTATATTTTAATTATAATGATTTATAATAGTTTAAAATCGTGTACAATTCTGTACTGGGCTTTTTCCTGGATGTGAGATAATAATTAAGTTTTTTTTTTTGAAGCCACTAGGATGCAGGGGGTTGCAGAAGATTTGGAGCGAAAGCAGATAGGAGTGATAGAAGAAAGGATGAGGAGATGGATAGGGGATAGATCAAGGTAACTGGAGATGTCGACTGGCATTACATTTGAATAGTTGGAGATTATAGCTCTCAGGGAAACAGTAATTGGGAAGAGTGTTCCACAGGCGAGAGGTGCGAGGTATGAAGCTATTGGAGTAGAAGAGACGGCTACATTTAGTAGTTTCAAAAGTGTAAGGGTGAGAGCGGGATGCCAGCCTTGTAAGGCGTCTGAATTCATGAAGTCAGGGAATCAGTGAAAGCAGCTCATCATAGCAATTACCATGAAAGTATTTGTAAAAAAGACAGAGAGAGGCGACGGCGCGTCTGTGAGAAAGTGACTGTAGACGAGATGCCAGATCAGGGCCAATTATATTCCATATCCGCCTTTGGATCTTGTCAAGAATTCCGAGTTAAACAGAAAGTGCACCAGACCATATATGGCAGCAATACTCCATGCAAGGGGGGATGGTTGATTTGTATATTTGAAGTTTCGATTCTGGGGAGAAAAATTTCCTGGCACGGC